GGAAGGGGGTGGGCGGCTGGTTGCCTCTTGATTTTGGCCTGCTGTTCCTCTATCTTTGCCAGGCGCTCTCGCTCCTTCCTCTCCAGCTCTTCCGCATATCGCCTGTGAGCACACAATACATAAGACCCACATGGATGGCATGGGTGTGCTGTGTGCAGGTGTGTGTGTGTGTGTGTGTGAAGGTACATACAGTACCTGGCTAGTTCGATGGCCTCTTCCCTCTCTTTTTGTTTGCGCATTTCCTTCTCCTCGATGGACTTGATGACGTGCTGCTGGATCTCAGCTGAACGAGCCTTCATCGCCTCAGCCTATACATACACAGACAGCATGGGATGGATGGCATCCCATACACACATATATACAGAAATGCAATGCAACGCAATCAGTTGTGTGTTGCATCGTCTCTCTTTCCGTATATAGCCGTTGGTTGTGTGTGTCTCTCTGTCTCTCTTTCCGTGTGGTGTGCCCTGAGTAATCCTTCGTCTCTGCAGGCCTGTGTGGCTGTATCTGTCTGTGTCTCTCCCTCCTCACCCCCTCCCTCCCTCCCTCTCTGACTGCCTCACCTCACCCCACCCACCAGCATTCGTTTCTTCTCCCTGTCGGCCTCCTCGTCCCTCCGTATCCGCTCCACCATCTCATCAGCTTCCCTCTCAGCCCGCCGCCTCGCGCGATCCTTCCGCCTGTTGGCCTCCTCCTCGGCCTTGCGGCAGTACTGCACCTGCCGACGCATCTTGGCCTGACGGGCCTCACGCTCGCGGTTTTCCTGCTCTTTGTAGTCACGAATTTGCTGCTGCAGATGCTCCTGCATAGGAAAATGGGATGGATACGACTCGACGGAGGCGTGTGTTTACCTTTGTGTGTCTGTCGGTCTGTCTGTCTGTCTATGTGTGCTGGGGTGTGGTGGCTTACTCTGTCCCGGAGTATTTCGAGTTTGGTTTCCTCTTTCTGCTGGCGGTTCTTGTCCATCTGCTCCTCTACCTCCTTACGGAAACACACTGATGACGCATCGCATCGCATACACGCAAAAGTGGGGCAGGAGGGACATACAGACACACTGTGTCTGTCTGTCTGTCTGTCTGTGTGTGTCTACGTGTCTCTGTCTTAATTACCTGCAGTTGCCCGCATGCGTGCGAATTTGTCTCGTTCACTCTCCCCGTATTTCTTGCGGTCGTACTCGGCTATCATGTCAAACGGATCCACCACAGACCGCCTGTTTATATGTACCATCCACACCACACGCCCATCCATCGGATCCCCTCCCTTTGCCTCATCATATAGTGTCTGTGTGCCTGGCGGTGTGTGTACACGTCCGTCCGTACTTGTGGCCGACATTTCTCTTGAAAAGGGGGATGTTGACGGTCGACTTGAACCTGCCACCCGCCTTGGACGAGGCCAAAGAGTCAGACCGGTCATCTTTATCCTTATCTTCCCTTGATGTGCCGGGGAGGGGGAGGGAACGCACAGCAGGAGACACACCAGGGGCCTCCACTGGCCTTTGGCTGCATGATATGACGGCACACACAGACAGATATATTGCAACGACACTCACCTCGATCACACATGATGGCCGGATGCTCTGGTGGTTGTTTGTGTGTCGTGTGTATGAGTTTGTGGTACATAGCGGTCACCCACGTACCTTTCAGCAGCAGCGGCTGGTGGTCTCTCTGTGCCACCCTGCCTCCCCTCCCTCTCTGCCTTGCCCACGTTCCTGCGGTGTTTGAGCTTCATGTGCACCGCCTTCTGTATCCCGTTCAGCATCTCCCTGTCCACCAAAGCCCTCTCCTTCTCATCACCTTCACCACCCACAAGTAGCAGCCTCTCCGCCTCAGGCCGCACCACCTCCCGCACCTCATCGTCTGTGGCACCAAACTTGGTCTTGAGCTTGGTGACCAGACTGTCAACGGCCTTCTGCCTGCGACGTGACGAGAGGGCCTTGAGTGTGCTGCCGCAGCTGACGCTGCAGCTGCCGGGGAAGGGCGAGGGGGACGAAGCTGAGTCTGCCATCGTGAATGCGTGGGGGGAAACAAAGGAGGAACAGCGGCAGCTTCAATCACATCATGATGTTTGGATGGGGGCCTCGGGGGCCGGTGCATGAGACGGCCAGGAAGAGACTCGCCGGAGAGCCCTGGTCGAAAATGGTTCGCTCTTTTTGCACTGCCAACAGCATCTGACGTACCGTATACGCGTCGAGGGAGGCTATGAAGGCGGACAGGCTCAGCTGGCAGGCGCCCCAGAAGCGCCTCCTCGACAGACATCATGATGCTCTCTTTCTGTCGACGTCGTCCAGGACGCCGTCAACAGCATCGAGCGAAGACAGCGACATGAATGACCATCACTCTCACCAACAGCTTGAGAATGTCCCCCTGCTGGCCGGGACTGAACATTCGCATGGCATTGCGACAACGCCATTGCCCATTATCGAACATTATCCCGCCTTGCTATGGAACGGGCTGTACCTGGTGGTGTCTGTGGCCGTCTCGCTCGTCAACAAGGCCCTGTTCGACACACACATGGCCCGGCTGCCGTTGGTCGGTGTGGTGGTGCTGGCGCAGGTAGTGGTGACGGTTGTTGTCTTGATGTGCCTGCACTGCGTTGGGTGGGCGCGGCTGCCTGGCTGGAGCGGGGAGACCTTCAAGGGGACACTGATGCAGAGCTTATGGTGAGTGAGTGAGTGAGTGAGACAGACACACGCATGCACAATGGGTGCGTGCGTGTGTGTGTGTCAAAGTGCAGGTATGTGGGTCGCCTGTTCGGCGGTGTTGGCGCATTGCAGTTTCTCTCGGTGCCGACGACCTCTGCCTTGATGCGCGTCGGCCTGGTGGTGGCTGTGGGGCGAGGTGAGCTTATGACACAGACAGACAGACAGACACGCGCTGCGTGCTGCGCGCTGTACTGTATGTGTCTCACATTCGCTGTGTGTGCGCTGTATGTGGGACAGCATTGGCCATGCGACATGAAGTCCACCATGCGTCATTGGACGTGATGGGTGTGCTGTGGTACCACTCACTAGCAGCCATCCCCCTATGCGCCTTCATCACATGCGCCGAAACACTCATCCGCTCAGACTTCCACACGTACCTAAAAGAGACAGACAGACACACAGTCGGTCGCAGAGAGACTTGAGAGACAGACACAACAATCCGCCCTCCCTCTCTATGCTATGCAGGCTCCTGTCCCACCTCAGCGGCAACATCCCCACAATGGGTCTATTGGCGGCTTCAGGCCTCTGTGTGTGTCTGCTCAACTTGTCCCACAGCCTGGCCATGCACAACTTCCATCGCGCATGGGAGGCCTCCCGGGATCAGCTCAACAGACACCGGCTGTACGCCACATTGCAGCAGCACATTCTATGTGGGGGAGAGAGGGGGACAGCGGTGGGTGTGGTGATGGTTGCGAGTGGGCTGGCCGTCACACATGGGCTGAAGCACGTGTTGGCCGATTTGTTGGGTGTCCTGGTGTTTCCTCACACCGTTGCTCTCAACGCAGGATACATCACAGGCACGCTCGCAGACAGACAGACATACACACCCACACCCACAGCCACACACACGAATGTCTCTCTCTCTCTCTCTCTGTGTGTGTGTGTGTGGTGTGTGTGAAGGAGTTGTGTTGTCGTGGGTGGGTATCGTCATGTATGGCAATGCCAAATTCGCCGTGCCGGTGGTCTGCACGCGCACACAGCCCCACAGCGGGCCCCCTTCCACGAGAAGGCACAACAAACGGCGGAGACCGCATCATCATCATCAGCAGCAGCAGCAGCGGCAACATGTGTACGGCTTTGGGTGTGGGTGCAATGCCGTGTAGTTGAGAGTGGGGTCAGTTAGTCAGTGCGATGGAGAGATAGATAGCTCTTCGTTTGTTGGTCCGGTCCATCCCATCGGTGGCTTCCATCGTGAGCAGTGAAGAGAAGAGTCGCGCAGACAGGAACAGAGGTAGGCCTTGGTGTGTTAGTGAATTAATGTGACGGACTGACAAGACCTAGATAGGAAACTCGTCAACAAACAAATAACAAATAAGTGGCACATAGATACAATTGCGGCGCATACGGCAGACAGACATCAGTCAGGCACACAGAGACACAGACAGACAGACAGCCTTACTTCCTGACAGACTACTTACTGAACTCATTCAGTCGTCTCTCTTGTCTGTCTTGTCTTTTCTCTTCTTCCGCACAAACTGATCCGAAGACTCATACCCCGGCTGCATGGCATGGCATGGCATGGCATGTGTGCATCGCACGCATCCGTCACACACACACGCACACGCACGAGGCGTTGCATGTGTGTCTGTCTCTGTGTGTGTCTGTGCGTACCTCGAGGTTGAAGTCGATGAGGTGTTCGTCACCCATCTCTGCCCCACTAGACAGCACCAAGTCACACTCGTTGTTGCGCGCGAAACTCGCTGACATAACGACGTGCCCACACATATGATCGATATAAGCACTCATATGCACACATATCCCCGTGTGTGTGTGTGTGTGTGTGTGGCCACCGTACATGGCCAGAAGTCGCTGCTGGGAATGTCGTTGGGCAGCACCTGCAGTATCTTGAGCGCATCGGCCACCAGCTCAGAACAGAAATACGTCTCGCTCTCACCCACTCCTACAAAGACGTACGTCTTCTCTTTGGGCATGTCTCTCTCCACCACACACAGTCTGTAGTATGTGGTGTGTCCATTGCCTGTCCACCTGTCTGCTTTTCCCTTCTGAGCAACTTTGCGGTGGTAATGAGATACGGCTTGCCACAAGACGCCTTGACGAAGGCCTCGAGTGCGAGCAGCCGCTCGTTGGTGCGCTCGAAGGTCAGCCGACGGACTGCCAACCTGTGCGTCCATTCGCGTGTGTGTGGATGTCTCACTCATCCACGATTAGGTACTTACTTAGGGTAAAGGAGGTGCCACTTGTGGGCGATAAAGTCACGCCATGTGACCACACCCACACCCTGTAAGTAATGCATTACATGTTGCACACAGACACACATGAGTGAGTGTGTGTCTGGGTGTGTCTGTGTGTGTGTGCATTTGTTTGTTTATGCCTACCACCCCTCCCGCCGCCTCGAAGAACGCCAGCCGGCCATCGGCAAAGCGCAACACCAGCGCCACATGGTCGTAGTGAGACCCAGTGATGGCTCTCTGATTGCAGTGTCGTATGATAGATACTGCCGACCCGTGCGTGGGACTCTGACTGCCTCTAATGGCCCTGCTGACTGACTGACCTGTATCTTTGCGGCCCTGTGTGTCGAGCAGAAGAGGAGAATGTCACCCGTCTGGGCAAGAGTCTCAAACCGACTGGGCGTGATGCGGTCGAACTGCATGACATTGTACGTACGTACGTGTGATGTGATAACACACATATATATTCTGGTTGGGGTGGGGGGCCATGGCCATGGTCTGGTCTGGTCTGGATGCTCTGCTGACTTTCCAGAACTTGGGCTGGTGTGCCAGGAGCTGCTGGTGGTCTGCAGGGGGGCGGGACGAGGCAATGTGATACCTATGGAGAGAACACACACACACACATACACACAGGGAGGGAGGGAGAGAGAGAGACCGACTAATGGGCCCACAGCTGCACAGCACGTTACACACACGCACGACGTCCGTAAGTACTGACTTGAGAGCGGCTACCCACAGCTGGACCTCGTCGTACGGCCCCTTGAGCTCAAACACACGGTCCACACCCTTTGGATAAATGCGGAAGCCCACCTCAGGCAGGTGAACCGTCAGTTTGCCCCGGCAACACTGCATGGCATGCATGACTCAACACATGACCTTAGACAGACAGTGGGGTGTGGGTGCTTACCAGGTCGGTGACGGGGGTGATGCACTGTGTCCAGCCGGACTCTCGGATCAGCTGGGGGCGGGGAGGGGGCTGCTGGGGATCCCACAGACACTGCACACATGAATAAACAAACGAGCCAACACAGCAGACAGACAGACAGACAGACAGACTGCTTATTTACACGAAGAGAGATGGATAGAGACATACATGTCGATGTGAATGTGCAATGCAATGCCAGGATTTAAGCCAGTCAATAAATACATATGTGGTTGTAGGTAGGGTAGGTACCTACCTCAATTTGCACTTGTATGAGGTCGGAGTCTAGCGTGCCTCGTGGTTTCCTGTCGTATTGGTGCCGGTAGTACGTCAGCTTCCTCTCACGAAGAACGAAGAACCGGGTCTGTCCGCCACACATACACACATACATACAAGCAGTGTCAAAAGAAATGTGTCAATGATCTGCAGAATCTACGTGTACCGCCCACCCGATGAGTGAGCTCTTCTTCTGAAGGAAGCCGCGCATCTCTGTCAACTGCACTCATCCATCCATCCATCCAGGTACCAACACAAGAAGAAAACACGTACATGACATTGGTCAAGGCAAGCAGAACGGGGTTTAGAGGGAAGGAGGGAGGGAGGGAGGGAGTGTGTGCGTGCATGTCCGTCCGTACGCTGCCCCTTCTTCTCTCCTTCGCATCCATGGTGAGGTGTATGTCGGTGTCAGACAGTGGCTCGGGAGGCTGAGCCGCACTGACTCGGTGAGGAGGGTCACCTGCAGCCAGCAATGGGCAAACGGACATTGGCAATGCTATACACCAAGCACAGTGGGCATGACCGTACCTGATGGGGGTGTCTGTGGCTCTCCTGGCTCACCCTCGACAGCAGTGCTGCCCTCATCATCGCTCTCCGAGTCGCTCTCCTGCATGGACACACACACACACGTAGCCTGCATGTCTCTTACTCAGTCTCGCTGTCTGTCTGTCTGTCTGTCTGTCTGTCTGTCCTTACGGCATATTCCACAGGCTCGTCCCTCCCCCTCTGGTACACCACGGTAGCAGCAGCCCCACTCCCAGCCCCAGACCCATGATTCCCAACTCCCCCCTGCTGCGGAGAGGCGTCACTGCCATTCACATTGTCACGGACACTCCTGGAGGGAACGGGCTGCAGTGCAGCGGAGGGCGTGGTGTCTTTGAGGCGCTCGTATGTTGGGCGGGAGGGGTTCTCTTTGTGCTGCATTGGGGGAGCGGCTCTTGTTGCCGATTGGGGGTGGGTAAATGAAATGCGTTTGTGAGTGGATGAAACAAGAAAAATTCCCGCAGTGGCCTTGTGAGGGGAGGAAGGGAAAGAGGAACGGAAAGAGGGGGGAGGGAGGGGATCGAGGAAGGACGCGAGCTTTTTTCTGTGGATCGTTTTGGGACACCGGCAGCTTCTCCATCCTCGTGTGCGTGTACCGCTGTGTGTTGTGGATCGGTGTCTAAAGAGATGGATAGGAAGGTGTCTGAGTCGACGGCGGACAGCGAGACCAGCAGTCAGAGACCACGCGTAGAGACCAACAAATGGTGAGAGGGATGGAGATGTGGCGCGAGACAGGCAGGCAGGGAGCTACCCAACTCTCTCTTGCTGCAGGTGTTCCACTGATGAGCTTTGGACGCCTGAGGTCGAGCTCAACAGAGCAACCACCAAAGGCTCATTCAGGTAGGTGAGGTGAGGTGCACACACATCCACACATCAACATGACCCTATCTGTCTGGTGCTCACTGTTCTTGTCTGTTGCAGGAAACCCAAACCCAAGTTGAAAATCTGTGTGGCAGGTGGGGAACGGTGGACAGACAGAGAGAGGGAGAGAGATGCATCCCTGCATCGACTGGTGGATGGACGGTCTCCTTGTGTGTGTGTGTGTGTGTGTGTGTGTGTAGGTGGTGGGAATGGCGGACACGTCATGGCGGGTCTGTTCGCCAGCAAGGGCCATGACGTGAGCCTCCTCGTGTCGGCACCACATCATGTTGACAAGGTGCGAAGACACACACACACACACACACACACACAGAGGGAGAGAGAGGGCACAGCTGCGAGCACACTGCGATACCCGTCTGTGTGTGTCCCTCTATAGTGGCTGAGTGGGATAGAGGCCGGTGGCTTGACGGTGCATTACGTCGAGGGCGACCGCAAAGTCAAAGGCACACCGATAACCGCCACACACAACCCTGCTGACGTACGCCAGAAGGACAGACAGACAGCTGTACGTGATCTGCATAGCCACTCCTATGTGTGTGTGTGTGTTTAGGTGGTGCCCTACGTCGATTTGATTATCATCGTGATCCCCGCCAAGTACCACCAACCCATGATCGAAGCCATGGCACCACACTTCAGGTACATCACGCGCACCAAACACACACACACACTCACACACACACACACATCCCTGTGTGTCTGTCAGGCCTGGTCAGTGGGTGTGTGCGGTCGAGGGCGCCTGGTGGGGCATCCCGCCGTCGGTCTTCGGACCCAACACGCAGCAACTCGTGTTCGCCGAGATCCAGTGTTTGCCTTGGGCGTGCAGGGCCACCGAGTAGGCTAAGCTGCCAATGCAATGCATACCAAACACCAATAGACCGACGTCCATGCCATGCCATGCCGTATCGCATTGTGTGTGTGCGCGTGTGTGTAGGTACGGTCGTTATGTGGAGGTGTTTGAGGAGAAGGATTTGGTGGAGATCGCCGTGTCGCCGTCGAAAGACGGCAGGGAGGTCGCCCGCATACTTCAGCAACTCATGGACATTCCCTTCAAAGCACACGGTGGGCACATGGGCAGACAGACAGACAGACAGACAGGGAGGGAGGGAGGGAGGGAGGGCCGGTGGGAGGGCTGACTGACATACACGTTTATTGTGTCACGTATTGTGTGCCTCTTGCTGGCTGGGTGGCTGGCTGGCTGCAGGATCGTTGCTGGCAATGGCGTTGAGCGCTCCGTGCAATTGGGTGCATCCCGCCGTCATGTACGGACACTTCGGTAAGGAGGAACGAACAGACACACTCACACACATAGCTGACCCGCCCCTTTATTCATGCGTCACACACGTGTGTGTGTGTGTGTGTGTGTTGTGCAGCCGAGTGGGACGGGAAGCCGTTTCCGCGTTCCAAGGTGCCGCTGTTCTACCATGACATCACCCAAGACACCGCTGACATGCTGGAGCGGCTCGACGATGAGTACCGACAGCTGAAAACACAGCTCGAACAGGTAGGTGCCTACAGAATGACACATGAGGGAAGGCCGCCTGCATTCCTTCACACACGTACTACAAATGAGATGCTCTCTCTGTGTTGTGTGTGACGTGCCGTGACGTGCAGCGTTGCCCGTTGTTGGATTTGTCAGCCATCAAGCCGACGAAGGAGCTGCTGATGGAGTACTACCACGGCAAGATCACCGACGAGAGCACCACCCTGTCGTGCTTCGCCTCCAACCCCGGTACGGTACACACCTTCAATGAGTGCATCAAGGAATCGAGCATGGATTGAGATGGAGCGACGATTTATCTGTCTGTCTGTGTGGTTGCGGTGCCCATCCATTAGGTTACGACACGTTGTCGTCTCCTGTGGTTGATGTGGGCGAGGGAATGGTCGTGCCCAACTTCGACTACAGGTCAGTCACCCACCCGACAGAGACACACACACATGGCTGGCTGTGTACAGGTATCTGAATAGCGACATTCCCTTCGGGCTGGTGGTCACCCGTGGCGTCGCACAACTCGCCGGCGTGTCCATGCCGACGGTGGACTTCCTCATCCGATGGAGCCAGGAGAAGCTCGGCAAGGAATGGCTGCTCGGCGACAAAGTAAGTCACCATACACACACACGCAGAGGCAGTGAGACATCTTTGCCTTTCTGTGTCTCAATACAGCTGTGCGGTCGCGACATGGGGAAGACCCGCGCGCCCCAGGTTTTTGACTGCCACACACTCGACGAGTTCGTCAAAATATGTCTCCCAGAACTCACCATACGGACCAGGTACACCACACTCACACACTGCACACCCTGGATTGCATGATCACGCACGCCATATTCTCTCTGTCCTCAATTGCTGTAGGCGTGACAAGGAGGCCCAGAAAGAGGAGGGCGGCGTCACCCAGGAAGAGCCCCCGGCCGTGTGTGCCGTCTGACACACTCTCACTCTCACTCACCCACCCACACAGAACAGAACAACATACACTCATTCATTCCCACACGCTTTTTCGTTTTGTGGCTTTTGTACGTTTTGTGTCTGCATTGTGCTGTGCTGCATGTGCTGTTCATGTGGGCGGCTGAGAGCGCGTGACAGAGGGGAAGCGGAAAGAGAGAGAGAGCACACACATGCACAGCACACGATGGGCTGGCTGATGGACAGTAGGTCCGGCAGGGGTGATTTTTCGGCCGAATGCACATGACATGCAGAGGCCATTCATTGATGTGATGGCTGCGTGCACGGAGTTTTTTCGGTCATACTCAAGGACACCAATAGCTTATAGCTTGTCTTGTAGGAGCGGCCGATGACGAATGGATGGACCATCATGGGTGTCTATTTTTCTCCAGACATCATCACATTACGTGGTCTGATGGCTGGATGTTTCTGTTGACGCGTCTGTGGTCGTGCTTTGCTGTTTTGTCTTGTGTTGTGTTGTGTTCTGTTGTGTTCTGTCGTGTTGTGTTGCGTCTTGTGGCGTGTTCTGCTGATGTTCGTTTGTCCCCGCC